GAGCTTATTTGACATCTTGAAAAATATCACCTCGTTTCAGACTCAAAGGATGTCTTACCATGATTTGAGACTGACTGCTCAATGAGATTGCCGTATGTGCGTTCGTTTGCTCTTTCATCATGCGGCCAGCGGCCAGCGGCCAAATATACTTTCTGATGAATCTCACCTGCAAAACGATAACTTACACAGCGTGGCAAAGATTTTAAATGCATATCAATATAGATAGAAGACGATGGGCATAAACACCCTCCAAAAAAGATGGGTAACGTTTAAAGTTATGTCAAATTGCTGAAGGCAATAAAAGTATATGTGGGACATATTTTCTAATGCCAGATCCACATGCTCGCAAATCATATGAAACATGAACTCTAAATAAACCATTCCCCACGAAGCGGTGCCGATAAAATGAGAAAACCGATCCGAGGATGTCTTCCGCCGCTGCAATGCCGCCCGGCCGTGGACGAGAAACAGGTCCCGGTCGGGCCATTACTTGTTATCAGAGCCGCCCGTGCCGTAATCAGAGCTCGCGCATGGCTGAGGATGGCGGCGCGCCCTCGGCCGGCACATCAAAGTCGCCGTGTCCGTCACACGACACCCGCATCATTTACACTGTGCACGGTGCACGGGCCGGGAGTGCCGGACGGCGGTCGGCTGGCGGCTTGCCGGCCGTCTCCGGCACGGTCACAGGGTGCCACCCACCGACGCCAGCCTGGCGCGGGTGTGGCGCGCGGCGCGGGAGGGGTGTGTCCGGTCAGATGCGCTGACCGGGAAATCGAATAAACATGATTGATCCTGAGAACGAGAAACGAGAGACCTTCAGTGACAAAATCGCTCAGCTAGGGCTATGTGCCTGTCTGCCTGTCCCGTAGCTCAGTTGGTAGAGCATCGGACTCCCGGTAGTGAGAGCCCGGGTTCGAGACGCTCCGGCGCTCGATATATGAGACTCCTGACGGGGATGGTCTGCGGTTGGTGGGAGCAGCCGCAGCCAGTTGAAGTCAGTTGAGTGGGACAGGCCGTGTCCGGCTTTGAAGGGCACGTTAAACTTTGGCATCTAAATTCTCCCGTTACCCGGAATTGCGCGATCGGACGGTAGGGGTCGGGGTCTACGCAACAAGCTCTGCTTAGCGTGGACTCCGGCTCTGTCAATCCGTCCATTCAAACATTCGAGCTAAATTTATAAAAAAAAAAATGTGTCCAAGAACCAAAAGTTCATGGCTGCAAGGAGAAGGCGACTGCCACCTGGGCCTCCGTGTAGCGGTCTCAGACAGGTGACCCGGCGGTGGGGTCCAATATCGCCCACCGACCGGTCAGCTCGGGACCCGGTGGCGCCGGCCCGACGCCGACCAGGGAAAGGGGCAGAACAAATGGCCGGCCGGGGCCGCTCTAACGAGGCGCCATGCGTCTCACCGTGTCAGCGGGGCGCGCCGGGACGCTGTCGGCTCGGCCCGGCTGAAAAATCGGGTCCGTCCCGCCGATGCCGAGTCGGTGCTCCAGGTAATCAGCCCGGGTAACTGGGACATGGGCAGCGTCACTGAGCGCGCGCACTGCTGACCCTGTTACAAGGACCACCTGTAACGGGCATGCTCCAAATCGACCGCATCAGTTCACCGTTCGGGTTACGGATTCTGTCTCCGTACGCACGGCTACTTCTCAAGCTGACGTTATCAAACGAGGGAAATCTGGTGGTTTCCCATGACTGGAAATGACTGGTTTCCCATGGACTCCCATGACCTCACGATGCTGGACTCGCAGCATGTGACTGCGGGTCGTCCGTAAAAGGCCGCGGTCCGCCCCGGGAAGGTCGTCGTGCAAGGCTGTCGGCGTCGCACGTGACTTTGCAAACATGTTTACCGCCGTCTGCCAGTCAGCGCACACTGGTCGGAAACGCCCTCACGAGAGGCCACGGGCGATTCCGGAGTTTCGGATTATTTTTTATATAGCTCGATTTGAAATTGATCAAATTATTATACTTAGGCCAAAAAAACTAATCCGGGTGACCAAAAATAACTGTAATCAGCCCCCGAAGATGGGGTATCCCGGAACTCGGAAACTGACGCGGAGCAAGAGGTTTCTTGAGCCGGATATTCAGAGTCTTATTGCTGATAGACACCAAATTGAAATCCCACATATTATGCATCAAAATGTTCGTTATGAAGTTGCCGACTGGTCAGTGCAAAATTTTTGGTATACTTTTTTCCTAACTAAGATGTACTATAGCTTTTTATGAAGGCTCTCCTACAGTGATTCTGGAATATAACTGCAAAGTTTAGGTAAGGAAACAACAGGTAGTCCCATCTAGTTCCACTCTGATTTTTTGTGAGATGAAGTAGGATTTAAATTTACACCAGGGCAACATAAAAGCTAACTGCGCATATTTGCGCAAAATTTGCAGGAGCCGCTCTTCCTACCCAACTACCGCCCGCCCCGCCCCAGTTTCGGCTCGGCCGCCGCGCCCGGCTTACGCTGACCTGTGTGGCCTGCACGCATCCATGCGTAGTTGACTGGTCATTAAAAACAGATGCGCTTGAGTTTATGAATTTTGTGAAAAGCGCGTTTTATGTATGCATTTATGCATGTATTGACATCAAAAGCCTTCCACATATTGCGTGGCGATTACGGCTTGCATTTAGAGAGCCTTGCTATTGACAACCATCACTCGGCTGAAGAAAGTGGAAATTGAAACCTTCGTGAATATAAGACGCTGCAAATATAGGACACCTGTCACTGATGTCGGGTTACCTTGGGCGCCTTGGGCCGTCTTTTTACATTAGATCACAATTCCGGTATTTAACCCTGGCCGGACCGATTGGTTTTCTATATTGACCGGGGAGGGTTGGTACAACTCCCTCGCCGTTTCGCCTCTAATTGAGCTAGAGCCTCGCGGAAAAAAACAAGCTTGTGTGCCGTTATAAGACGCAAAAATTAGGTAGGTACTACCCGATTTTAAGGTCTTAGGTCAGCCAGTGACCTCTTAGGTCAGGTAAGTGCCACAAGGCACGGGCCCGGTTTTAGGTTAAGTACTTTGCCAAAAATGGTCGCACTGCCGCGATTTTGGCATCATCGTGTTTGTCTAGCTCAGGCGCGTTGAATGCTATACTTAGTGTTCGGGTGAAGTCAACTTAAGGTGTTAACCTCGGGTCAAGGTCAGGTCGGAGCCCCTCAGGTCACGAAAATGGTTGAAGGAGGTCATATTGCATACCATTCGATTCGGCAGGTCTTCCTGAGTCCAATGGTGGCTTTCGCGACTCTCTAGCTCCATCTGATCAGGAGTTATTGACGAAAAACTTATATAGCCTTAGTGACGTCATAAATGACGTCACGCAAAGTCAACAATGCTAAAGTCAAGCACTGGACCTTGCAAGGAGTGCATGAAACCATTCCCGGTGCCCGAATAGCAGCTCCCAATTTCCCTTGTTGACTTAAAGTGGTGCTAGATCCTGTATTATACTCAATTATGACGTCATAACTTAACAGATTCACGTCATATATTTAGTGCTTGACATCCAAATGATAGCTTACATATGACAGAGAAGGTATGCAAAGTTTTATGAAGTTTGCTTCACTAGTTGTGGAATAACAAGCAAAAAACTTTTGCGGAAAGGCCGCTGGCCTCTCGCTGGAGCGTTTCCGACCAGTGTGCAGCGTCGTGGTTCGGTGGCAGGAAGTGACGGCTATTTCAGTGCCGGCCGACCGCGGCTCCGGCAGCTGTGGTCTCCTGTTTACGGACGCCGACCGGGGGTCAGCCCCGCCGGCGCAGCTTGTCGCTCCATCAACCCCCGGAGCCCATGGAACTGACGCAACCACCGCCACCGCCGCGCCCTGCGGGGCAGCTTTACGGCGGGCGCCGGCCGGCCGACGGTGCCGGTTTATGAGCCGCGCTCGCTCCCGGTTTCACGGCCGAGCGTGGGCTGGCTCCGTGACCGGCGCAGAGCCCGGGGGTGGTCACGTGCCGGCACGTGCTGCCGCGAACGACCTCGGCGTCCGGCGACCTCCACGGCGGTCAGCCGGACGCCGGACCGGTCACGGACTAACCCGACCGCAGAGTCAGCCGTCACGGACCGGACCTGCGCTCTCTCCCTTTTGAAAATTCTGCTTATTGTTCAGCCAGATCCTGTACGAAAATGCTGCTCATTGTTCAGCTAGAACTGTTTCATATTCGACAATCACCCGATGAGGAAAAACATGCCTGCCTATCGGTGACCGTAGGGAAGTCTCCCGTTTTCAGCTCGTTTCCCGCGTTTGCATCACGTCCTCAGTGAGCCATTTTACCGTGCAGCCGACTTTATCCCGTCCCGGAGCAGCGCCCACAGAAGCCACCGACGGATCGGCGGCTCTTCGTGAGCGGCGATACTTCCTGAGATGGTCTTCCGTTTCAGAGCTGGTTGTACGACACGATAAGCCGTCCCGCTCCCGGGCCCCACCCCCTCCCGATCTCCAGACTTCGTGTCTGGCCGGGCCGGTCACGCGATCGGAGGGAGGATCCCAAATCACCGAACGCTCCGGTGATGGCCTTGATCCTACGAGCGCCGCGAAGGCAGAGTCGTGACTCATTGACAGCCGGCCGCCCCGGCGCACTTCGAGAAGAAGATTTAATCGAATATGATTTAGGCCCAGGCGAGGTGATGTGTTTTAGCGCAGCATAAAACTGAAGGCGACTCGTATGTCAGCACCACGCTGGTCTGGGCTGAGTAAGCACGGAGGCCTATCATACCGCCCCGTCCCGGTGCCCGTCCGGCAGCGGTTCGCAGAGTTGTTTGTGATTTCAGGCTCGGACACAGGACACAGCCGCGGTAGTCGGTCCGGACGCCGCGTGTCCGACAAGTGTCTGGGGAGTAGGAGACACGTCTGCCGCAGTGGCCCACCGGAAAAGGGGGGGGGGGAGAGATGGCACTGATACAGCGCGCCAACACGCAGACAGAGGAACGCCCCTCAGCTGAGAGGCGGGCCCGATGGTGCCGCCCTTCCGACTGCTGTAACCGTCTCACCGACAAACATTGATATTCAGCTAGAGCATGTATTATGTAAACACTGGCAGCTTAGCACCCAGTAATGACGTCGGGCGAATGGGGATCTGCTGCTCACGAGCGATAATGGCAGGCGTCTTATCATATAACAGTGAGCCATCAACCAGGCAACTCGCCAGAGCTGAACGGCTCAATTCAAAACAAGGCTCCACAGCGGATACAAGCACGCATGGCCCGGGTGGCGGCCGCTGACTCGTCGACCGCACCCTGCCGACACTACGGAGAGGCGACTGACATCACACAGCACTGATCCTGTGGCACAACGGAATGTGGGCGCTATCACGGGCGCAGGAGCACCGCCCGCGCGCAGACAGCGCACCTACCGACACACACGTACAAAAGGACAGCGGACGGAAGAGACCCCCTAAATGCCCCGCTCTCTCACTCGGCTACTATCGCTCGCGGCAGGTATCACAGCGCAGTCTCAGGTGGGGCGGTACAGGTCGGCTGGACGCCGCCCGACCGACATGGCAGGTCAGAGACCAGTGGGACCTCCTGTGGGAGCCCGCTCGGCCTTACCAGGGCCTCCAGTGGGCCTCCTCGTCGTGGTGACGGTTGTGCGCCACCAGGTCGAGCGGCTGAGGGCTGTCGGCACGGCCGGCGCACGAGCCGAACGACCGCTCCGACGAGCAGGGGCTGGGCGAACAGCGCGTCTCGGCCGGGTCCCAGGAGGGCGCCGGGCTGGCCGAGCCGACGCTGCACGAGGAGGCCTCCGAGCCGCCCACGCTGGCCGCGGCCGGCTCCGTACAGACGGACAGGGAGCGCTGGCCGGCCTGCGGCGCCGGGACCGGCGGGGGCTGCTCGGCGGCCGCGGTCGGAGAGGTCACCATCTCCGTCACTGTGCCGGGCAGCGCGCCGGGCAGCAGGAAGGCGATCTGGCCGCCGGGCAGGGTGGCCGGCAGCAGCTGCAGGCTGCCCAGACCGGCGCTGATGGCGGGCACGGGGGACAGCGCCGGCGCGGCGTCCCCGGTCCCACCGTCCACCGCGCCGCCGCCGGCCGCGCCCAGGTGGCTGAGCAGCCGCTGCCGGAGGCCGCTGTCGAGACCGGCGTCCCGGCTCAGGTAGGCGGCCACCTCCCGACGACACTCGACGTAGCCCTCCCGGTAGCGCGCGGCGGCTCGCTCCGGCCGCGCCTGCAGCGAGCGCAGGTGTTTGACGGCCATCTCCAGAATGTCGGCCTTCTCGAGCTTGGAGTGACGCGCCGGGTCCTTCTTCAGACCCTCCAGCACCAGGCTCTTCAGCTGCGATAGGCTGTCGTTGATGCGCGCCCGCCGCCGCTTCTCCATGATTGGCTTGTTGATCTGAGAAAGATGAAGGGGCAACGTCAGGGTCTCGGCTAAATAGAATATAAGAAGTTCAAAAACATAAGTGTTTCAGTCATCATGGTATTGTAGGAGCTTCTTCAACAAGCATTGTTTATGAAGACAATATCAAATCCCATAGTTAATTGTGCGTTACCCATCAAATTCAGTATTTTAATTGAACGCCTATTTTTATTAGTTAATAATTAATATTGATTACAAGCACCCCTTCCTAACAATAAATTAAGCTTCAGCTAAAAGGCAATTGAAACACAAAAGCGCCATTTTGCTACAAACATTTAACCGAGGGAGCGATCGCAATAAGCCTAGGCAACTCGAATGAATGAGCGAAGACAACCGTGGTCCCTACCCTGGCTCTCCAGATAACCGGTAGAGTAGCAAGTCAAAACATGACTGTCAAAGAGTCCGTTGCTAACACTTATAAAAAAGTGATTCACAAAAATACAATTAACCGATTTTCTTTTTAACTTCTGGGATGCAATCCCACAAACAAATTAATATCCGGCACCAATTAGTGAGGAACACCTGAACTCACCCGTCTATGCTCTGATGCCTTCTCATCGCTCGGCATTTTGGTGTCTGTTTGTCTCCGCTGACCGACCAGCTCCACGCACTCCCAAATCTCGCGTCCGTCCTCCGCCGTCGCCAGCACGCGACTGGTCGGCGGTGGCGCGCGCCCGTCCCACGCCCCGTCAGCCGGCCGGGCGCGCCACCTACCCCGCTCCCCGCCGACGCGGCCCTGTGACGTCACGGGCGCGCGCCCGGCCCACCGCCGGAAGCCGGCCGGAGCGGCGCGCGCGCGCGCTGCCCGCGGCCCGCGCCCGACCGGCCGGTCGACCGGCGCGGTTTTTACAGCGCGCAGATCCGCGGACAAACGTGATTTGCGTGAGCGAGCGGGTCTCGGACGGCTTACGGCCACCAAAACCTGTGTCGGGTTACATCAGGTCCGAGGGAGAAGAAAAGGGGACTGAAAAAGGCGGTGCATACCTCGGACCTCCCAAAGAGAGCGCACAATCACCAACACCCAACAGAATACTCATTACTTCGAAATTAGGTGAATATTGGTCATGCTTGGCTGGGGCTGAGGTATATGAGCTGGAATGAAATGTTCAATTTCCTCATCGCATTTACAAAGTTATGTAAAGAAGCCTTCGTGCAACATCTCAAGGGCGCAATGCTGTGCTTCAACTTGAAAGACTCAAAACTGCCCGCTCGCCCAAACATCTGCGGGAGGATTCACGACGAACCAAATTCGATCGAACTCACGTCATTTGGTCATTTGTTTAGTCGGGAATCGTGAGCCTGATCGTCCCGGCGCCTTCTCTATGTGCGGCTGAACTCAGTCGTGTAAGTACCGACCATCAGTCACAGTCCACCTGCAAAACAGCACGGGTCCCGCACTGACGTCACGGATACGTCACGTGACAAACTGGCTATGTCGTAACCGTCACGGCGCCGGCGCGCGTCACGGTGTCAATCACGACGTCATTTTACGGAGAGTGACCGTCAGCAGTGTCACATTCGTGTATCTTCCTCGTCGAGCTCGGAAACTTATCCGGTGACCGGCCGAGGGGCACGGTCGGCGGTCAGCGGAGTGACCCCCGGGGCGCGGGACGGCCCGCGGCAGCTGAACCGTCACCCCGTAACGGTACTGGGCGTCTGTGACGGACACCCGGGGCTCGGGGGCGGCCAAATGTCACCGGTGCTCAGCGGGGCACCGCCTCTGTGCGCGCTGTGATGTCACATGAGAGGTCAGCCGTGACTCAGGCGGCGTCTGAGCCCGTGGCTGTGGGTAGTGTTACCAAATACAGACGTCATGACGGAAAATATTTTCCAATGACCTTACTTGCTAACGGAATCCAAACATTTGACCAGGCGTATATCAAATTCACAAAGCAGAACACGAGCTATCACCAATGCCAGATTTCATATAGTCTAAACTCTGTTATTCGGTGTATAAAAATCAAATCATTACAGCTTCAGGAAAAAAATGTTTTGCATGAGTGCAGCGTATTGGCGAAATAGTTATCTGGAATGGAGAAGGGTGACAAGAAGGATCTTTGAAGTCTGAACGGTTCGGCTGGACCCGCAGATCGCTAACTATGCGCGCCCTAACGGTTTCTAGCAGATGTCATCACTTCACACTGCGTCCTCGCGGCCTAACGAGCGCCGTTCGGATCTGTCGCACCACGTGGCGCGATACCCCTGTTCACGGTTCAGCTCCCGGTCCAACGGTCCTGCCCGACCCCCTCCCGACACAGGGGTTCATTTGACGCGCCGGTGGCAGCGCGACCCGCCCCGCCGCTGACCGGTCCCACTGATCCAGTCACCCGGCGCTCGGCGCTCGGCGGCGCCTGTTGTCCACAGACTGAGTACTCTCTCCCCCTCCCCCGCCCCGCGCCCGGCAGCCGGCGCCACCCACGCGCACGTGCCAACGGTCGGTGGTCGGTGGCGGTGCCGCGGCCGTCCCCGTCTGTCCGTCCCCGCCTGGGCTGATGGGCTGCCGTCTCGGCCTCAGTATACGGTCTCGGATTGTCGCCGTCCGTTCCCGGTATGGCAGGGAGGTCGCGGCCACCTGACCCGCTGGGGGGTCGACCGCTGCCCCTCCCCCTCTCCGCGGCGGCCGTCCGTCCGTCCGTCCGTCTGGAGCGCGGGCGGGGGCGAGGGCGGGCGGTGCGCGCCGCCGGCGGCCGCGGCGCGTCTGGCCAGCCACCAGCTCCAACGGTCGTGCATTCCGCGAGATTTGGACGGCGGGAAGAGAGCAGGGGAGGGGAGGGGAGGGGCACCGCCCCGGGAGACGGTCAGGTGGCCGCTGCAGGTCTCTGGAGGAGAGGACCGACGGCTGTATGAGGTATGTGGACTCACAGAGCGCGGCTCCAACGGCCGACGCGCGGGCCATGCCGCCGGGCAGCGCCGAGCCGAGATGATGGCAGAGATACATTCGTCAGGGTGTAATGATGTCAGGTGGTCGTTGGTCGGACCGACGGCAGGTGCGCGGCGACGTCAGGTGCACGAGCAGCACAGACGGCGGACTGATGCTACAGACGGCGGACTGATACCAAACCCAACCAGCGGCCAACACGGGCAGTACAGTCAACAATCGGCGAGCTGATGCACACCAGCCCAAACACCAATGTGTGTACGACACCAGTGTGCGTATTTTTAGTGTATCCCGCCGCCCGCGCCTTATGCATACCTACTTTCCTTGACGACTATACCCGTACGATTCATAGGAAAAAGATAACCTCCCTCTACCTTTCCCCTACCAGCGCTTGGTTTCATCCATTTTTCTCCCTACATCAGCGTCTTTTGGATTCGTGAAGCTGCTTCCCTTTAGACCTCCAAAGGAAACTAAAGAATATGACGTGCAGGGATCTCTGGCGCAGTGTCAAGGTATTTCCATTCACCCCTGAGGCGCGGCATATTTAAAGGGAGACATTGATTATCAGAAGATATAAATAAAAATTATGCAGAAATCGACGATAATCACGACTTGAGGCTGCTTCACAGATATCAGGCCGAATCGGGCACTTCACCGGCATCTATGCCACCCCGCCATCATGAATACTGCTATGAATGGGTTATGAATACCACACGAAAACATTCCGGCTTCAGGATGCCCGCGAATTATATTCACTAACTACCACTGATAACCTCTTCAAAGACTCTGCCTACAATAGCTGTCTCACGGCGCTCGGTGCGGTAGGCGCCTTTTCTGACGCGCAGAACACGCCTCATCACACGGCCGTCGGGAGTGAGGAGCGCTTCCAATCGGGTCCCGTCCCCGCGGCCGGTCACCGGAGTGTCCTCACAATGAGGCGAGCTCATCCCTGGCGGCCCGGCGCCGCTCAGTCGGTATAATTCATACCTACCCCGGGACCGGCCGGACCGGCACACACACAGACAGACAGACAGACGGACGGACGGCGGCAGTAAATGTCGCTCACACCCGGCCTGGCTGAATGTGACGGCGGCCTAATCAGCAGCTCCCGAGACGGACACACGGGACGGGACGGGACAGTAGTCCAGCTGCCGGTCCCCCGTCCTGCTGCCGACCGGTCCTAAGGAACGCTGGCTGCTCAGGGTTTCCAGCCGACCTGGGCTGACAGGAACCTCTTTACCTGCATTTCGACTACTTAGTCCCGTTATACAGTGGGGCACTATCTGGTAGTAATAGCTGGCACTATTTGGTAATGGACACATAATTTTTCAGATAAATACCATTAATTCATTCACAAAGCTCTAGGTCGTAGGTAAACAACTCAACACATCAAAAGATGGATTCGATTCATTCAGAATAAACACGAAATATGAATAGACTCCTCATTCCAAAACTGTTGATTCAAAACCGCACTGAGAGGCGAGAGCCTTGCAAGCATAACTGTACCGGGTAGCCGTATACCGCTACACATTATACCGTTCCAAGCCACACCACGACCCGTTCCGCAATTTTCTGAACCACAGTGATCTCGACATGTATGTAATCCCCTGTGACCCGTCCATCGGTATCTCACCGCACTACCGGCCGGCCCCGCGCGCCGCCCCGCGCCCCATCACCAGCCGAGGAGCGTCTGACACCTCTCAGAGGCGCGGCACGGGCGCGGCTCAGGCCACTAATCTGCACCAGAATGCTGTTTACTCGATCGCAGCGCACCGGTGCACGGTGGTGGACCCGCCGCGCCGGGCGGTCAGGCGGGGCGGGTGGGCGGCGGGTGGCAGGGGGAGTGGCCAGCCTGCAGAGTGGTGGGTGGTAGCCATCAGGGCGGCGGAACGGCGAGTGGTAGAGGGGTGTGGTGGATGGTGATGCCGTGGAGGAACAGAGTGGCATGGTGGAAAGGTTGCTGGGGCGGTGGATCGGTTGGACGATGGAATTTGGAGCAGAGGGAGAGGCGACTGTTGGACGGCGAGACACATAGGCTAATCAGACGATTTGGAGGGCAGGAGACACTTGGGCAGGATTGGAATCAAAATTGGAAGTTAGGAAGCAACAAGTCTAGTAATGAATATAGCGAACGTAGAACAGTAAGCAACGGTGAACACAGGCCCACAGCATCCTGCAGACCGATCAAATGCTGTTCACAGCAACCGATGATTGTTCAAGTCAGCTGCCGCCTCTTTAGCGCCCAAATGAAATGAAGTAGCAGATTCTTTATCTGCTGTCACAAAGAGGCAGGTGGCCGCCTCCCGTCACACCAAGTATCTGCAGACTGCAGCCTGTCCAGATTGTCTCCTTGTCTCCACCCTGAGTGTCTCCTTGTCTCCGTCCTGTTCCGAATATCTCCGCCCCGCCCGAGTGTCGGCAGTCGACCGATGATGATGATGATGCCGTCTGGACCACTTTCTCCCAGTCGGCGGCGCTCGGCGCCGGCTACCGCAGCGCGCACACGCATCGCTCACAATTATTATCATTATAGGCGTCGGGGCGGCACGCGGAGGCACCTGGGCCGCGGCTCTGCGGGGCTTTAATGACCTTGGCTCGTCCTCCGAAGGAGAGCAGCCGGCAGCCGGGAGCCGGCGGGTCGCCCGATGGCTGACTGGCCCGCAGCTGTCGCCGCCGCCGGTGCCTGAATACGGCCAAATCACGCGGCAGCGGCCGTGTCACCTTGACACCGCCGCGCCCAAGACGGTCGGCGCCAGGTGGGCGCCTCGTGACGGCAGGTTTAAAGGCCCGCCGCCGCAGGGCGCCCGAGGAGGCCCGGGTCGCGGCGCGGGTCGGCCCGGGTGGTGACCCGCCGCCGGGGACG